GACAGGAAAGTTTATATTGCTTTTGCGATTATTAAATTATTGATGTCGTACAAGTGCAAAAATAGGAATCGTTGGTATTAGTTGATTTTTTGAAAGAATCTGTGCGACAAAAATTTGATAGGCACAACGAACATCGATGCACCCTAAAAAAGAAAAACAGTAGTGGTGGGAAAAATAGATTTACTTTGCAAGGGAAAAGATTTTTACTTATTACTATACAAATAAGGTTAAACCATGTTCGAGACAGTATGTATAAAAAATGGGGCTAATTTTTTGGGGACGTCTGTTTCCGAATTAGTGCAACAAGAAAAGGATCAGAAATTGCAGAACATCACTAAAGATTTTTTTCTCCCGCAACTGCGGAACTCAAGTCATTAAAATCTGCTTTAATTAATCGATGTGTTAGTTAAAAAAGTAATAAGTTGAAAGCAGTTCATCGAACTCTAATAAAGCAGAAAACATTGAGTATTGCGGATGGTTTATCAGGTGAAAGGCATGTCAGGATAGGAGATGTTCTCCGACGACAACTTTTGTCGAATACATAATTATTCATTTATAATTTTTAGAAGCTAATATCATGTGACAGCGGAAAAATAATTTTTTTCTCATAAATAAACACCGAGTTTTGAGGGAGAACGGAGTTCGAGCGGGCTATCACAATATCACGATATAGCGACATCACGACATCACGATATAACAATATCGTGATATAAAATCGGTGCTGAAAAATTGTTGTACGAATTCCCAAAATTGGAAATACACTTGGTTAGCGCGGTTTAGGAAAAGTATAAGATCCGCAAAATCAGTAACCCGTAAAGGTAAGGATAAACAGTTTATACTAGAAATGGGAAATCACGAGTTACGCCCGAAATCATTATAGCGATAATATAGTAACATATATACAGTTAATAGATAAAAATTAAATAAATCAACTTACTCAACTCGCGTTACGCGACTTTACGATTATGTCTTTATTGTTCGTAAGTTGTTATCCTAATTACGAATCATTCCACACTTTCTAACAATAATCCAACTTCTATCTCCTAACCGAGTAAGCTATTCAAGGCATGATGAATAAAACCGATACTCTGAGCAGAGATATAGTCAGAAACTAGGGATTAATCTGATTTCACAAAACATAAAGAGGCACAAAATATCGATATCGTTTTGACAAGAACGTAGTCTTGATCGAGTACTGCTGTTTGTTGTAATAACGAATCATAACGTGATAAATGATTCAAGAATTTGTGTCAACGTGAAAGTTGTATATTTCGACGATAGTAAGGGATGAGTGGATTTGCTGCATAGTTTACATTTAGGCGTTTATTTTGGAACGCCATAGGAGTTGTACTTTGCGAGGCTGAATGCAGCGTAGACCTGACCATGGCAAGAAGTGCTTATTTAAAATGTTAATTCTTCATTATCTATCACGTCAGGAAGGTACAATTACTGTATGTCTGAAAGATGTATCGGAAAAGCAAACTCATTATTATTATCTGATACTGGGGGTTGCCTGTGGCCTGACAGTAGGCAAAACGATGGACTAGAACCAGTACTATCACAAGAATTTGATCGATTAACAAAATAGCTTCAACCAATCACTAACATGGCTTTAATGCAACAAGTTGTGACTTCAGCGATGACCTAGAAAGTATATTGCACCGTGGGGGATGGGGGGACAAATTACCAAGACCCTTAATGTGAATCCTGCTATTCGATTTCTTCCAAACTTTTTCCTCTCTGTCTTTACTTATCTTCTATTTTGCATGTCAAGAAACAGATGTTGATGACGGAGAGACACAATTATGACTACTTATCACAAGAATTCAAACACGGTACCATCATAACCTCTGCGTTTACCTGGTGCAATCACTGCATTCGCCTTCTAATGAACATTACAATCGAAGACTATCTCGGCGTAATCGTAGTAATTCGGCGGCATTCGTCGTGGGGATATTCTATCGCTCGAAACTGCTGGACAACGTGATGTGAGTGATGTAGAAGAAAGAGAGGGTTAATGCATCACTTATCGAAATGATGATAACGTTAATGTACAAAATCCGAGGAGAGTAATCTATATCAGAGTACCATTGGAAAAATTGAGGACTGGTAACGATAATATTATAGGGATGATATGGAGAACAGCAAATTAAGTCAATAACGATCATACCGCACCGAATATGCATTTATTTGCAATTCATCGACTGTAAAGACATCGGTACAGGCGTATATAGGCCTCACAGCTTTTTATTTTGATCCAACGGTTAAAAAGTCTAAACTGTTTGAGATATCGCATGACCAGCTTGAAGAGCCTAATCCAAGTGAACTTCTGACATTGCCAGCCAGCCCATGTCCTGGATACGTTTTCGGCAATCCACTTTTCATCCATGGTAGCATTGAATGCGCTTTTACCAGACAGACCATTCGATCGTCTTTATTCATGCCTCATTGCCCATCCAATTGCAGATATAGTCGGCGTCACCTGCATGGAGGACATGAATACCCGCTTCTAGTAATATGGAAACTAGCTTGTGATATGGACTACATCCTAATAACGAACAGAAAAATAACGAATTTAGTTGTTATATCATAAGGTGACATATTAAATGCGTATACATACTGGCTCATCACCAGTCATCCTGAATCTGCCGGTAACATCGAAGCTGCAGTCCCCATTACTTAACACCGAATTTTGCGCTTAACTTCTTCCCGATTCAAATAGAATAAAGGTGAGGATGGCGTAGGTCTAGTTTCCCTTTCCCTCTAACATAATCACTTCATCGCATCGCAGTAAGTTCGAGCTAGTACACAATTAGACACGCTCTGTGATTTGTAACATTTTTTCATGTGTCGAGCACATGTGGGATACGCTGATCTCATTATATCACAAGTGCTTCGTCGAGCACCGGAGGGTGCGACGGATTGCAAGCCATGTTGCAACTTGCATCAACATATGCCAGGATAGTGGAAATGGTGTTTGTAAGTGAGGATTTCGGATGCGATAGCTGGAACGTAATGACCAGCGTAACCAGATGATGAAAGCGAATCATGTTAATATAGCTCTATACTGTAACGTTCATGTCAGTTGTGCACAGTAGGCTGACTTACAATTCACCGGCAATATGAAAGTAATTGGCCACTTTGTTGATACTTGCCTGAAGAATGGAATTAAGTCAACCTGCTACGGGCTTGGTTTGAGGAAAGGGATCATTTTTGTAGTACTTCTTGTCAATCAGATCCATATGGAGAAACGCTAATACGTGCTGAGTTGCAGTAATAGTAATCGCTTACTCTAGTACCAACGTTCATTGACTGTGCTTAAATTGGGAACTGTCAACATAAACATAGATCCAAAAGTATGGAAATGCATTTGCTCTACCTGCTCTAAGAATATGACTGATGCATTGATTGCATTGTTAATCCAGGAATAAGGATTAAACGTTGCGTCGGTTCCGTTAGCATGGACCGAATTCATAGAATAATCCAATCATAGCGCTGCATCCAAGACCATCATTCACCTGACAGTGGATATGTATATTGTTAGGTACAAAGTCAAAGATAATCGGGTTATTCATAGTCAACTTGATTGGAAGCAACAACATACCCAAAGGACAATTGGATCAGTTGAGGTGTTGTTTCTCGATTCAAAGAACAAAAGAAGAAATGTTTATTACTGCCGACATCAACATAACCATTGTACTAAAAAGGTAAGAGTGAGAGTAATGAGCAAAAGCTGGCAGGTAAAGGTACAGTTTCATGCTTACATACGTCGTAGATGTAAAGTACCCCGACTATTATCGCATAACGATCCGATCCTGATAGAATGGTCAGGAAATTCGTCATGTGTCAGTATCTCAAAGTCATCCAGCTGTTCTTGCAGACGATGCTCGATATCTTTTCGAGTAGTGGACGCGTAATCCTGGTCGACGAATTCTGCGTTAATGAAGACAAAAGCCGAATGAAGCATAACAGAATCGGACAATGTATAGACGCCATTTTTTTACGGTGACAAGATGACAGCGAAAACACGGATGAATTAACTGGCAGAACAACAAACCTACGTCGACTCCTTTTTATTAGTGAGGCAGCGTATGATGCGCCATGAAGAGAACATTCTTTTGTGTGCGTGATTGCTATATCAACGTACAATTGTTTTAATGAAGATATCAGTCATTATGTCATTCGGGACTGGTTAATGTTCCTTACTTTACATTCGACTTTTCCGTCAAATAGATCTCGGGACAACACAGATATACTCTCCATCATCACCTTATTCCGCTTGTCGACTTCCTGGAAGCCTCGAATTCCGCATGCCGTTTCTGATTCTCAAAAAAGATTCATCTCGCTTTGGAAATCAATTCTGGATTGTCGCCCGTTCAACTTCATAAATGTACCACCAAAGACTGCTGCAGTTACTAGATGCGTTCATGGCTGTGGAATATTAATATCGCCAAGACGAAGACTTTAGAAAGAATCGTGTAGTAAATCGAATTTATTTGTTATATTTGTGCATGCGGAATAAGCATGTCTTTCCTACATCTTGTGGCACAAAAAAAACCGTAACCGCGCCACATTCTGGACTATTAAAAAATGCTTTCACAACCAATAAAACTTTACACAAAAAATCAAGTAAGGTGAAATTGTTGAAATAATTAATTGTTATATCATGGTTTATATTCTTACAAGCATGCTTAGTTATTAGTAACAAAAATTATATATATTCTTTCTATCATAAAAGTCAAAGAGGTTGCCATAATAATAATCCATTCCTGATAAGTCAGATCAAACAGGCCATTTTGATCATTTTAAAATTATGTCTGTTATCTCTCTGTTGTATGACAGATAGCTATCTGAGCTATTACTATACTATTCACCAACTGTTTAAGTATTCACTTTGTTGCTACCATTTGCTTCAAACTCATGCACTTTATATTTAACTGTTTAAAGTATTCACTTTGTTGCTACCATTTGCTTCAAACTCATGCACTTTGTACTGAGATATGTCCAACCCAATGCAAGCAGCGCTTTTGGTCGACTCCGATACCATACAACAAAGTATAGCCGAGTGGTGTTGCGCTGGTGAATATGCTGCAATTTTTAGTATTCTGAAATCTTCATGCTTTTGGAAGTTGCTCTTGAATCATTTGAAGAGAGATTGCAACTCCGTTTCGTTATCATCAAGTAAATTAATAAATTCATTGACAATGTCAATTCTCGGACATTGCCCCAAACTTCTGGTCTTGTTATTGTCCCAACGATTTTGGATGTTACGTTATGCCAGTCGATAGCATTTTTGATGTTAAATGGCTTCGGCATGGAAGGCGAAATTTTTGTAGATGCTTTGCTGGATGCTTGCTTCGTCGTAGGCGGCAATTCAAGATCGACAGAATAGTTTGCGATATTGAGCCTGACATAATGAGTTAGAGTGAGCTATGGAGAAAGAATGGTTTATAACTTTGAGAATATAAAATTACCTTAAAACTATGAATAATTCCGGCATCGCACGGCACGGTTGCAAGTGAGCCGTAGTATTAGGGGAATGATAATGTACCGTGATGTTAGACAATGTGGTATCTTTGTAGGGTGAGTGACAAGCAGCGTTATCGACAAGCAAAAGAATATCTCGTTTCTGTCGTTCCATGTGGGAATTTATTCTTTCATGATTGCTGCGGTACTGAGATAGAGTAACACAGCAAACACAATTGCAGTTTTTGTGAAACTTTAGATATTACTATGTTAATGTTAACAGAGTTCAGTGTACCAAATTTGAACAGAATTAGGAGGTCGTGAGAACAAGAAGTAGATATGCAATATCATTGTTTTATAACTTAGTGACTCAAATCTTGTTTATTGATATACTCAAGTATGTTAACAACTATGACAATGTATGATTACATAATTTATCTGATCTTTGCGAAATGTAATGGCTTTGGGATTCTGTTTGGTGAATGGGCCCCTTTATATAGGTCTATAACACTAAGGATAGTCTACGAAATATCTGTTGTGGATGGGTATTTTTCAAAAAATCCACATGGGTGACAACTTCTGACGACAGCTCAAATCTGTTACAGGTTTTTGACTCACTCGACTGTTTATTCTATCTTTAACTTAATAATTGTTTGCTGAATTATGCATCTATGATCTTGTAACTGAAAATGCAGACATAAAAAGCTAATACCGTGTTCGTGTTAGTCACCGTCAGAATAACGATAATTACAATATCTAACGTTGTAAAACGATTAACCAATCATCGATCGCATTATAGCCCATTAAGCAGATGGATAAATAAAGTGCCAAGGACAATGTTTTGCAGTAATCCTGAATACACATAGATAGAAACAAAAAACAAACTTTGTAAACATTATAAATTTGAGTTGATCAATGTAGTCTTTTTCACACCAATATGACATTGAGTCACAGCGTAAAGCAATATACAAATCCTTTATTTTCATATGCGACTGGTTTAAGTTTTTATTTTATGAGCTTTTTTCAACAGTAACGTAGCAAGTTTGAATGTCTTTACACAACAGGCGGCCCATATGACGGAAAGTAATAATACGTCTATATAGTAATAGATTAATATGCTGGTAATTTAAGTGCAAAATAACTATTCGCTTGACTAAATCCATAATTCTTACCAGTTTACGCAAAGTGGGCAATGTTGATTTTCTGCAAACTTATGCAATGGACTACCAGAGGATAAATGAAGGGAAGGCAAAAAAAAAGGGGTGTGGCGTAATCATATAAATACTGGCACGTTCACGTCATTTTCTCAAATACAAATCTTTTCGACGACGGGGTTACGTACGTACAAGAAAGCCAAATATATAATGTTAACTATTTACACCAGCGCACGGTGATAACTTTCAAAGAAGCGTGGGTGAAGAAATACCAGTAAGCGCAAAACCGCAAATGCAATATATTTTTCGCGACAAAATTTTCCTCAACGAAACTGTTTGCCCAAGCCAAACTTATCACTATATTCAAACCGTAAACTACTGTATGAAGTGGGGGTATAGTGAGGGGGGTGACGTTTATAACAGCAAACATGTCGCAAGACAAATAAGCGTTATAACATTAGTCAAACTTTTTAAGCAACGCTTGAAACGCTTTAATACAACGAACGCTATATAACATTTTATCAAGCTTTTTTGCAAGTGTCTGTCGTATTCCATAAATTTGTAGGTAAGAAAAAAGAGTATATTGAAGCGAATATAGATTAATGGTCGGTTAGTAGAAAACTTTTTGCGTGCAAGAATAAATTTATTATACTTTCTCGACAAGACGGTAAACTGTCGTTTTGATATGTCGTCCTTGGCATGACGTTAGACTGCCACTCAATATGCCGCAAATGCTTACTGAGGTAGGCAGAAAGTTATAAGTACATAGTAGATGAAGCCTTTTTGGCCAAAGTGTCTGTAATGTATGGGGATTGCGAGCACTTGTATATTTCAGACCGGTGTTGGTATCTTGGGGATTGCGATCGCTGGTCCTAAACCACTTTACTCGCTTATAACGATGCATTGGGAGGGAGATTGCGATTTCTCATACCCTTCTAAGGCGTATGTTTTACTAAACTCTTTCATACTGGTAAGGTACGTACAATGAGACTAAAATATGTATAGAATGTTTTTGAAAGCACTTTATTTATTTTCTCAACTTAACTTCATAACATATATATACTTTGGTAGGTAAAGTTATTCCCGCTCGATGTGCTGTCACCTCAACATGGTGAGCGGGTGACAACGTCTACAAGCACAGGTTTGTAAATGTGGGTCGATAGTTTAGAAAGTTTTTTATCGTTCTTGTAGTTTGCGATAACGGTAATGTCGTAGGCTTGATTCATGGTAAGTATTATCAAATATTATCTATAAGCGGCGAGTATTATATACTATTTTATGCCATGCAGCAGTTTACGTTGCGTTGCCATACATGCGGGTGAGTGTTTTCTCATGCCATGAACTAATTATCAAATTTTGTAGATAATTGTCGGAACGTCAGAAGAGTAGTTAATTAGTAGGTAGTTAATTAATATCATGTATTTTTTCCAATACGTGTACATTAGAGTAGTAAGTAGGAATACAAATTGACGTTATTTATTAGTGCAAAGATCAATTAACATTTATTAGTTTTTTTATAAATATTATTGTCCTCTGCTTTTGTATGTTTAGTAAAGCAATAATAATTAAACAAAAATAATACTTTGCCCAATTTACGTAAACAGTTGACATATGCAAATTGCGGTTTTTCTTGCCATGGTTTATACTGTATCTTATTTGAGTTTGCATTACAACTGTCGTAAAGTTGACTCGTCGAGGAAAACAACCCAACTTTTTGTCTTATCTAACTCTATGATAACTTTACGTATTGTAAAAAACGCGATAGTCAAATGAATAAAAATCTTATCGGACAAATTTTGATAACATAAAACATGTCGTTAACTTTGTACAAATTTTACGCCTTAAGAAATATTGCTATTATATCATAATTTTGGCGTATATTTTACCATTGATTGCAATCAGCATTAGCCGGTATTTTTTTATAAAGGCGAATACTTATAATATGTTACGGTTGTCATACTATAATTAACAGTTGTTATACAATATCTTGGCTATGGTTTTAGACTTCTCACAGGTAGTATTTTAACATAAATCTACAATAACAAAGTAAATTTTCCAGAATTACTCTATAGTTGAATAAATTTGACTTTACACCCTTGGGCCGGCGGAGTATTTATAATTTGTTTTCGGTAAACAGACAGGATATGTCTTCCTGCCCTCTGATAAACGAAGTGGTTAACGATTATTTCTCATTATATATGGTTTTGGAATTTACAAAGTATATCCGCAATTATCGGCTCTAAAGACAAGCAATTTACGATGACTTTGATTTCGTGTGTTTTACATATAGCTTTAATTTTACAGTACTACTTGCAGGCATTTTACATCAACTTTTACAGCATGTTTATTAATGTATTATCCATTGGAAAATTAGTGTCATAAAGTTAAACCGCAATTATCTTGAGAAGAATATTACGTTAAATATTAAAAAAAAATAAATCTTAACTTTAATCTGGTATCACGTTTTTACAAATTATACTTTTTAACATTTGTAACTGCAAAATGTTAGAACTTGACAAGGTGCTTAAATTTAATTATTATCACAATCACTGTTATCTTATTAATATCCTAACAACAAATAAGGATCGACAACAATCAGAGTATTTTTTTTTCTCTTTGTGTCTCGATCACGGTAATTTGTAGAACATTGGAAGAAAAATCTGATCAGACGACTCTTATTTAATAACTAGCTAATCTTTGCTCAGGCTTGCCGAATTTTGCATGGGCAAATTAAACGTTATTTTGCGATCTTGACATACATACTGTAGTTGGTACGTTGTTAAACTTGCGTAGTTAGGGGTTACGTTATCATTAAAATAATGGCGATAGATCTTCGACGGATTGATACCATACGATAAACAGTGGAATGAATCAAGGTTTTGGTTCTTACAAAGTGCCAGACATTTTAAGAGATTTCAAGAAGGCTTGGGATATTTTTTATCTACGGAATTCTTGCATTATAATCACAAAGTAGCTGTAGCGTTTTAAATACTATTATCCAATGTCAAATGAAAGCAATCACGATGGAGAGTTGGGCAAGATAATTTTGCGACTCGCATTGATTGTTTTGGGAAAGGTATAAAAACAATGTTAGGAAACGCAAAACCAACCGAAATTGACAATGAAGCTTAAACTGACCAGAGTATCATAAATTTTAAATAATGACTGCTATATTATATACTCAAATAGTCTATCCTGGAAAGAAGTCTAACAGTAAACGTGCAATTCTTGTTGACACATTTAATATATCTAATTTGAAGAAAAGCAAACTCCTTGAGTAAAACTCGTAAATGAGTTACGAAATTACAAGAGCGTTTGTGTCACTAAATTATTAGACAATAAAACGATGTTAATATTGTAAATTGACTTTATTTGCAGCAATGCAAAACATACCTGCAGCTGAATCCAAATGATAACTATTTCTCGGTTTAGGCAAAGCTCCAGTAGGTAAGAGTGTGCTGGAATATTTACTTACCTTCTCGAGACGTGATAATGGCTTTACATCAGTATGATATATAGTATTCCACACGTTGTTATCCTTTTGTACATCCTTTAGAATCTTGTCAACATCGCTCCAAAGTGTCCCTCCATCCTTTGGACGCTTATCAGGATCAGCATCACAACACCGCTCGGCAAGTTTCTTGTATTCCTCTGGCGCAGAAT